TCCAGCACTGATCCTGCTTGACTTGGTAGACTGACATTAACTGGTCTGCTGCCTTTAGGAAACTAAAGCCATGTCCGCTTTGTAGTACTGATCTGAGGGTCAATTCCTCAGTCAGTGAGAGATTCAGCCGAATGATCCTAGTGTATATTTTAGACTAGTAACATACTTTACATGGCAAAAAAAATACCAACACTAAATAAAAGTCACTTATAACAATCATAACATCCTGTAAATGTGATTCTGCAAACCTCACTTGTTGTGTGCTGTAAGATTTAAATGTTCTAAAGTTAGTTTTTTTTATTCTTCTGATGCCATCAGGTTGCCAAAGAGGCTGTGCAAATGTGAAGTCTGTGTGATGATGAACTTTAAGATGTTTATGTCAACGTGTGTGTGTGAATACCTTCAAACATAGAAAAGTGGCTGTAAGTGAGTTATGTGATATGGTTTCAGTGGCACATTCAAAGTTGTCTAGCTATAATGTATGTACTGTATTTAATAGCAATAGTTATATTATGTGTAAAGTGTTATAAACAGTGCCGCATTATAAGCAAGATACAGTCCAATAATGACTGAGGCATACCACTGTGTTCACTTATGTAAGTGCTTTTTATTTGCACTTGGAGGTAGAAGGAAGTTGATGTTAGCTACACTGTAGGTTCTCTGTGCAATAACACAAAATCAAGGGTATATGTGCAATTTGCCAAAACAGCTCATTAAATGCATGGAGCTTGTGTAATTTTAAATTAACTACAGTGACCATTTTTAATATTCAGAATAAAACAGAGTACGATTTCAGTTAATTCCGGTGATCTACATCACGCATGATGTTATAGCATTTAAATGTTCACTAAAACTGGGATGTAGATTTGTCTACACATATAAATTGTGAGTGGTTTTTTTTAATCTCGTGTGGTGGCTTGTGTTACAACGAAGCAAATCCATGGTTAATTAGTGGTGCGGTGTGTGAGAATATTAGTTGTGTGCAAATGACACATAGGATATGTATCTGTGTATCATCAGCCAAAGTGAATGTCACAACTTCCAAAACTATGACCAGAAAAATTACTAGGTGACACATCCATGTTTATTCTTAGAATAATAGCTGTATTTTTATATGTCTGTGTGGAAAGTCTTATAATATAGTGAAATATTGTTAAAGAGAATTTAAAAAATGCCTTAAAACTAAAGTCATGCAAGCTGTTTTCAATAATTTCAATAAATTGTTATAATCTATTGATGTTCAAAGCTTTGATGTTAATTTGATGTGTTTCCTCTTGGTGTTTGCTGTCTAATCTGGGTGATACATGTAAAAGAATATATTTGTAGCAAAGCAGCCTGTTTAATTAATGTTACACTCATCCATGATAACATTTTTATAAAAGTAATTAATGTGTAACATGTCTCTGGCAGATCAGACATGGTGTTTTATGAAGTGCAGTGAAAAGTCCAGTCTTCTTTATTTTGACAAGGAAAACAAAATGCTAATTTATTTTGAAAGGCAGTAGCAATATTTTGTTCACAGAAGAAAATACACGTAAAAGCTGTAATAAAACTGTCATGTAGTAAAACTGGAAACTATTCCATAAATAAAAATAACTTAAAACTAAAATCGCGTCAGTGTTTTATTTCATTTTTTTTCTTAGAAATTTGATGCCGTGTCTTGCTAATTAATCAGGTTTTATGGCGGTTTTGATTTTTGTGAAGGAGACGCTCTCATGACTCATCGAGTGTCGCCACTCACTGGCTAATAAGTTGAATTTGCTGTCATTGGGTTAAAATACAGCTGAATGCCCCAGATTTGCAAAATGTCAACTTCGACTTTTTTGCTTTTAGAGGTGGTCACTCCTTCCAATGATCTATTAAACAACTGCATTTGATTAGCAATGCCTGGCTGCTACTTACCTTCTTAACTCCTATGGATGCAGTAATACAGTAAATTTCCTTTTTCACATGACTGGAGAACCTTAATTAAAAGAGAAAAGCCTTGAAATTCACAGAATTGTTTAAATGGGGTATCGTTTAACATATTCTTGAACTGCTAATTTAAACATTTACTTTGCACAGTTAATATGTTGCTATGCTGCTGTAACTGGGAATGGATACTGTCATCCATACCTGCCCTCCCCCTCATTTCTTTTCTGTTAATGTGACCACACTGCAAACTCGGAAACTGAGCCCTAAAATCCAATAAGTATGCCACGAATTGCTATAACATTAATTGATCATCTCGATTACTGATGCAGCTGTAGCTTTTTCAATCTTCCAAACATGCAATAAAATCTGTTTAATCAACAACCAAAATGCCTGGCACTAGACAGTCTAATAATTAAATATCAGATAACTAACTATTACTGTTCAGATGCTGTGAATGGTTTCAGGTCCAGTAGTCTTAACAGTTGAGCAAAACAGCCTCATCTTGAAGTAGAATGTCAGACAGACAAATACAAATGAGCTTACTTTAATTTCTGTTAGTGCAAAGCTAACATAGCTTTAAAGAAAACCCTAACAATGATGATTAGTCTCAATTACAGCTGTATGTAACTGGACTCATTTGCATGGGGTTTTCTGTTTGCAGCATTGCCACTTGAGTCACACGTTCTCAACAGATGGCCTAATTTCATTGGCATCAGATGAGGTCTTTAGGGAGAGAGACACATTTAATTCTCCATTGGTTAAACCACTGAACCAGGTCGACCAAGTGCCCATTTAGCAAAGCTTCCATGAACTGGTCCAATTAAATCTGGAATAAAAATTAGGCTAAAGAAAAATGTGGACTCATGTGGATGAAACAGCTCAATGTGTCAATGGTAGCACACTCATAGCTGTCCAGTTCCACAATAATGCAAATCATCATCTCTGTATTCAGTGAAACAGTGAAAAATGTTTAATTGAATCAAAGCACCCAGGAATACAGGATACACTCTTGTGCCTCAAATGCCTCCAGGTTAATGTGGGATTTTCTGATGCTGCCTTTACTTTAGTCAAGCAAATATTCTATATCATGGATCAGCTGAAGAAATAAATTAGTTGCAAGCAACTTCTTTCTTGAAGTATTTACATCTAGCAAATACTACTATTGGTAGTAACACTATAGAACTAATCGGTCCGTGTCTTCTATCTTGCTAAGGGAAGGAGAAGTGTTTTCTGGTTTATTTTATTTATTTATTTATTTTTATGACAGCCAGTATCTGAGTTTCCATTTGACTGACCTCCTGCAGCCTGAGATGATGATCATCTGCAGTACAAACTGTGCCAAACCACTGAGGGGCTTTTAGTCTAAGTGGCACCCACCAGAGAAACGGGCAGAGCTGAGCTCCCATGTCTTTTTGGGTCTGCTTCTTCCACAGATAGGAGTTTCAATTTGGTCTCAGGAGTTCTTAACAAGTCTTCTTCAACAATCCACCCAACTTATCATTTTTATAATGGATTGCATTTATATTTATATATCAAAACACTTTACAATTCCACTATTCATTCACTGGTGGAGTAGCCACAGCTGACAGAACTGACTGACAGAAGCGAGGCTGCCATATCGCACCATCGGTCCCTCTGGCCATCACCAGTAGGTGAAGTGTCTTGCCCAAGGACACAACGACCAAGACAGACAGAGCTGGGGATCGAACTGGCAACCTTCCGGTTAGAAGATTAGCTTCCCAACCCCCTGAACCACGGTCGCCCTATTTTATGGTCAAGGGGGAAACTGGACCCTATCCCAGCTGTCACAGGGTGAGAGACAGGATACACCAAGGAAAGGTTGTCAGTCCAATTCAGGGTTAACACAAAGAGACAGCAAACCATTCCCGCTCACATTCCCAGAGAGAACCAGAGACAGGGATACAGGAAATTCTCTCTTGCTGTGAGAGAGCAACCTTTTCACACATATTGTATTTACACT